ACGTGTAATTTGATTTGCTTTGCTGTTTGTTTTGGTATGTGTTGATTTGCTTAAAACAGCTTGTTGTATAGTGTAAGTGTATCTTTTTGGTATATGGGGTTGAGGCTACCACGTGTTTTGCCAAGGGGTTTGTGATCTACTTGTTTTTATATATAATATTATTGTATATTAAAATAGTTTTATTATAATATAAATATATATATTTATTTTATTATATATTTACTAGATAGTTTTTTATATTTAATTATAAAAATAAACAAAAAATAGTTTAAAAAAAACAAATAAAAATAACAATTGTTATTTGTTTTGTTAATTTGGATTTATTTGTTTTTTATGATTTTTATAAAAGATTAATAACACAATATAAATTTATAACATAATTGTAAAGATATTTGTAGGTTTTAATCTTATTGTAAGACTATAATATAATACTATCCAATATACAAGCAATTTATTACGCAGATCTGAAACCAAATCTAATAGATGTACATGCACTATATATACTGTATATAATTGATTCAATATAATTTAATAAGCATATGATTCCAACTTAAGTATGAATTAATAAAAAGATTTGATTGTGAACTTTCAAAATTTAACATTAACAACTAACTTTATTCTATATTAATGAGATTAAATCTCCAAACTTTATAAATATTAAACTAGCATTTAATCTGAATTGAAGTTATAATGATTAGATTTTATGTCATTAAGCGATTAGTTTTATTTTAAAAAATATATAATATTAGTCAAGCTAACCATCTCTAAATGTAATCTATACAGGTTATACTTGGAAATTTCATAAATCACGGAATGCATTATTAATTTAATATGATCTTGAAGTTTATAATTGTTTGTATTTCACAAAAAAATTTACATGCAATGCATTTATACATCAAAATCTTTTAATGACACTCATATCCACTGCTATTTCACTGTTGTAGCTGACTTGGTTTTGGTCATGCTTCGAGTGATTCTTCGATCAGGTGTGGTAAGATTAATGTGTGTATGAGTGACACCTTTTGGAGTCTCGGTGCCTCTTGGTCGCCCGGCTTTCCTTCTGCTTTTTGGTGTTTCTACGTTTTTGGGCGTACGCTCATTTTGTGGTGACGAGAACGGTGAATGATTTGGTAGAGTTGGAAGTTCGATATTTTTAGGTTTTTCAGGAGATTTTGATATTGAATCTCTTGATGACGCAGGAAATGGCGAATGACCAAACAACACCGAATGGACAGTTGATATTTTATCCTTGGCGTCATCTCGAGGTCGATTTGACATTTCTTCGTCTAAGTCCGTAACCTCAGATACACCAGTCATTTCTAATAAAATTTGTTTGTGAGCAACTCAAAAAATCACACAAATGATATTACAAAATATAACTAACCTTCAACCACAACCGTATCTCTGTTTAAAACTTCGTCTATTTCCATGGAGATTTCTTTTTGTTGTGAAGCCGGTAAAACTTTCATGAGATTTCCGAAATACTTATTCCTCATGTGCGTATTTACTATTCCACTCTCAGTACCCTTACTTTGTCGTTTAAGGAGTTCGTTTTGTTTGATGGCTTCTGACGTCATTCCATGATGTAATGCGTAATAAATCCAAAAGACCTTACATTCTTCCGAATCATTACTTTCACAATATCTTTTTACAAATTCTTCTTCATATTTGTCCATTCTTATGTCAATGAGTGTATTTATTCTATCAGGATTTGATCCTTTAAAAAAGCAATAATCCAGCAATTTCCTAAGCAAAGGCAATTCCAGCATCTGTAGTTCGTGAAGTTGAGGTCGATATTGCCGCTAAAAAAATATATTTGTTAATTTTCTTATGTAAAGAATCATAATATAGTGATGTAAATTAGAATCAACCTGAAATTCAAAAGATTCGCGTATATCGCATCTCATCAAAATTTCCATATACATCTCAGTATTTTCGGGTGAAATTTCATCAGTTTGTGTGAGGTTTGCATATTGTAGAGCCTCACGTGGGCTTGCTTGGTTCATCAATACCTCCATAACTTTAAGATCCCAATCAACAGTAACTGATGGTTCGGTCAAAAACCTAATGGCTTCAGAAAAATGCCAATGATCTAATGCCCAATATCCATCCATAAGACACAAGAAATTTGGTGGAATCAAGAATCTTGCAGCGTATTTCTGATGAGCGTAATTAGGAGGAATTTGCCAATCCTTCAGTAAATAATAAACTAAACAATGCTGCCTTAACCGATCAAGGTGACTGGAAAATATCGCGTTAAACAGAGTCTCCAAATCTGATATGTCGCTTGGAGGATAAAGTTTTGAATCGATATTCGCGAATCGAAGCATCATATCAAAGATTAATTCATGGTTCATCTGATTACGTCGAGTCTGAATCCCGTTAACTACATTTTTACTGTATATATTATGCTTCTCAAATTCCATCTCATTAAAGAATTCGTTGAAGGTGGGCAAAGGGTTGTAAGTACCTTCATCTTTTATCAGTTGATTAGATAAATTAAATAGCACTGTTCTATCGGGGAGAAGGATATCTACTTTTGTAATAAATTCAGGTGCATCGATATCAAATATCGGTGACGGATTACAAAGGGAAGATATGTTTTCCCAACAAATAATTGAAATTTTATTTGCATCTTCGATTCTAAACAAGGCCAACTCTGGACCATCTATAACATCTTCTTCCAAGTAGATTGATTCCAAGCCAACGCACAAGATATGACTTATTCCATCTATAGACGCTGACATGGAAATAATTCTGCCGTTCGTAACGTTTGATTCAGGACGACCCTCGTATCCTTCGTTAAGTTCCAATGTTTGACCGTCAAAACGGAGGAATCTGATTAACGGCTTAATCTCCAAATGATTTGAAAAATGATCATTCGATAACGATGGATGTAGACGACCTTGTCCAATAAAAAAAAGGCATTTATCGCTGGTTTGCGATGGACGCGCAACGATATGTGTAACAGGTGCTTTCGAAGCTGGTGCATCCAAAGATTGATAATATTGAAGTTTTCGATCAAAGTCGTAGGTGTACAACTCAACAAGACCATTAATACCACCAGCAATTAAATACAGTGTTTCTTCAATAGCCACATTCGCCAATTTATAAATATTAACAGCAGACACCGGTTCCTTTGTAGTCAGTGGTTGATAATACTCACCAACTAATCTAAAATACGGAGCCTCAGATGTAGGTGCTAACAAGCGGTATAATGACAACCCAATTTTAGAGCCAATGACTAAAAAATATGATGAAGGTGACACTCTGCCTAATGCTAGGAGTCTTTGATTTTCATGAGTCTATATTTCATTTATGATATAAAATGTTATTATTATATATCTATATTTACAACGAAATAATCCCTTGATAAGACTTACAGTATGTGCTATTGGTTCAGAGAATACGAAATCATATATTGTGGCCATATAATCGAGATTGACTGGCAGATTATGCGATTTATTTTCATAGATATCATATAAAATAAATCGATAATCGTTATTTGTGTCTCTTGTGCATAGCAATAGACACGCATTATCTATAAAACAATCTGTGACTTTCACTATCTCTCGGATGAGATAATCGTTTGTAGATTTGAATTCGCGGTTATATCTTCTTATGTCAAATACTGAATATACTTCAAAATCGAGTTTGTCATGAATTTTTACGACTTTTCGATTATAAGTGTAAATGAATTCGGAATTCTCTAGGCGTGAGTGTTGTGTCGCGAAAGCTCCTGTGATAGAAGGACTCTCTACTGTCGTAGCTGAATCGACAGGCACTCTTGGCAGAGAATCCTGAGCAGGTCTCCTGATAAAGTTTCTCAGAGTCGTAAGGAAATCCATGATTGCAGTTTAGATACGTGAGCTGAATTTAGACTAGTTTTGATTGGATGATCTATTACGTAATACCGGCGGATGTCAATCAATTGGTTTTTTTTTTTTCCTGAAAAATTTAATATTGTTTAACGCTCGATAGAATCCACAATCAACCAATCCTGTAACCATGCCTGGTACAACCTCGAAGCCTCCAACCAATGAGTCTGAACTATCCGCAGACCTTTTCAAAGATGAAAATCTTGAACTAGATATTGATGAAATACTCAAAGACATAGATAAAACGGAGGGTGCGCTTAAGGAACTTGACGACCGACTTGATAATTTTAATGCAAAAATAGATGCATTACTGAGTGAACAGCCTACTGATAATTCTGAAGTTATGCCGACGACAGAGGAATCTAAGGGTTGTGAAAGGGATTAAATGTTAATTATATTAATTTTTGGACGGATGGTTAGTTCAATATTTCAACGGTTATTAAGTAACAAACAAAAATGACAAAAATGAATTTATAATAGAAGTTGAATATACGATTAAAAATCGTTAGTATCCTGGTTTATGAAACATTTGTATTAATAATTCATTTATAGCATATATTTAAATACATCTATTAGTAATTGCATATATAGTCAACTTCCTCTAACTACATATCGCTGGGACCATAAGAAATTTTAATAAAAATATGCATTTAAAAGAATTATGCATTTATAGGAAGAATTTTTATATAATTTATATAAACTTGGTACCAGACATGTCTCATGCATTTAAAGGAATTTTATATAGTGAAAATTTCACCAATAGTCAAGATAAATCTTTTTTTTTATATTTTTTTTAATTGATCAAGGGCATTAGATATAAGGTTTTATTAATAATTAATCCTATTATTACATTAAACATTTTTACAAGCTAGACTATTGCTATTCTAGATATAAATTAATACTACCTAGTGAATACTATTTTCAATATTACTGGTTTTCTCAAGCTAACTCAACTATTCTGGTTAGTTAACTTTATATTATATAAATAGATCCATATTCTAGTGGAACTTATAAAAGGAAGAAAAAGTCATATTACTAGTTTAAATCTATATTTCCAATTGGTCCAATTATACTTTTTGACTATCTACTAGGAAAAATCATATAAAGTATTATTATAAAGATTAATCGTAATTATTTCAATTATCAATTATTACAGATTCTCAAAATATGTCATTAGTATTATTTTTTTTTTAAAACCAGCATAACCTTGCTTAGCAAACTTTATTAAGATCAATATTTACATATATTTGTACACATTTCTATATATAAACTATACTATAACATTAATTGATAAGTGTATGCTAAACTATATCGAGGTTTCCTAGATATCAGTTGTTGCTATCAACTTTTCCTATTGGATAGAGGTTAAAACTAACATGCCAAGGTATCACTATTGTTAATGTCACTAGTATATAAATAAAAAAAATTGTTTTTTGTCATTTTGTCTATGTTTTTAAACCATCTTTCCAGCAATTTTCTCTCCAGGTTCTTTTTCCTATTTGCTATTATTTCCTCTTTTTCTCTGTCTCTTTCAACTTTCATTTGATATGTTCTATGTCTTCACTTTCTTTTGTCCACTTTGCTGATGTTGTTCATCTCTTTCCATTCTGAGATTTCTTCACATCTTTTTTTCCATAGTTTGTTAATTACTTTTGTTGTTCTCTCTACAATTCTTCTGCATACCTTTTTTATTTTTTCTTTTGCAAACTGATATATATATCTAGTTATATCTTTGGTCAAAATTCTCTTCATTATATAGTTCCTTGTACTCTCCAAGTTCATAATTAGTGGCATTTTTGGTTTTGAGTCTTCTTTCTTTTTCCCTTTGTTTTGGTTTCTTTGATATGTTTCCATTTCTTTCTTTATTATCTTTTTATATTTATTTGTTATTTTGTATTGTCAGTATTTGTATATCAAGTGTTCTAGGCTTTCTTTTTTCTTGCATCCTAGGCATTTGTTTGATTTATAAATATCTGGTCTTTTTTCTGCTAGCCTATCCAGTATAGAGAGTTTGCTATTTAGTAGTCTGTATTTGATTCTTCTATATATATGATTTTCTTGGCTTGTATATATTTTAGTTATTCTGGATTGGTGTTGTGCTTCCCAGGTGAAGTGCCAGTCTATTTGTAGCTCATTTCTATATTCAATCCATATTCTGTTTCTTTTTTGTGTTATCCAGCTTGCCATCTATTTGGTATTTTACATGTTTTTCAGAAATTCTTTGATGTTTGTGTCTAGCTGGTATTCTTGCCAATTTAGTGTTCCCCATGCTGCTGCTTTTGGATTGGCTATTATGATTGCTTCATCTCTTTTGTTTACACCTTCTTTTGTCAATTTATCTGCCTCTTTATTGTTTTCTTCTTCTTGATGCACTTTGACTTTAAGGAATGTTATTTGTCCTTGTCTTTCTTTGATGATTCTTTTAATCAAAGTTTTTGTTATCCAGTTTGTGCTTTTATAGGTTTGGCAGCTTCTTTTGTCTTCTTTTTGAATCCCTTGAATAGCTGCCTGGCTGTCTGTATATATTTCAACTTCTACTTGTGCTGGGATTGTAACCAGCATGGTTAGAATTGCTATTAGTTCTGCTCTCGTTGATGATGAAAAGTGTTCTATATAACCTGAGTATATAGCTTTTTCTCCTGTTTCTTAATTGGTTATGTGTCATCCCACTCTATACATGTTGTTGAAATTTGTAGATCCTTGACGCAATTGACGCAATTATTTGACGCAATTAATTGAGTCACTATTAAAACATATAAATAATTGAGTCATAACACAATTATTTTTGAGGATTTTGGGAATTGAGTCAACAGCAAAATAATTTATATCACATGTATAATTCCACTCCCATCTTGGTTCAATTGGTTGCTTCCTGAACCATTAAGCCATTTGAGTATACTTTTATTCTTCTCCAGCTTTTTGTTTGTTCAGTTATTTTGGCTAGTTCTTCTTTGTTTAAGCTGCTGGTATATAGGCATTTTGTGATTTTGTTTTCTATTTCTATTTGTTTTTCACTAATTATGACACTGATTTTAGTTTGTATTTGTTCTCCAAGTTTTGTATATTGTGCATTATTGTGCCTGGTGATGTTTGTATTCTATCCAGGTGTCCTAAGATCTGACTGTGGAGCTTTGTGCTATATATGGTTTTGGTTATTGGAATAATTATTGCCTAATATATTTTGATTTCTCTGGTACACCTTTCTCTTGTGTTGTCTTTGTGGTTACATTCTTGACACTTGTCTATAGACAAGTCTCCTTCTATTTGTTACATGTATTGTACTCTCACTTTGTTGTCTGTTATTCTATATCTGCAATCTATTCTTCTGATGTATATTTGTTGATTAATCATATATACCAGATATCTTGGCTTTTGAATATTATAGCTTTTTGCTGCTTCTAGCTGAGAGATCAGATTAGGTCTTGTTAGGTTCATCAGTATGATTGTGTACCTGTTTTTTAATATATCTGATTGACTACATTTTTTTCTAATCTTAGTAAACCATCTTGGCTGTTTGCCAGTCAGTTTATATCTTGTGGCATCTCTGATTTGTCACCAGTTAAGCATATGTGTTTGTTGGATATTGGTAATCTGTTCGATGAACATCAGATTGTGCTTTCTAATGTTTTTGGTGTTTTTCTTGCTCCATGTTTGTCCTATAACATCTTTAATTATGTGCAGTCCTGTATTGTTATATATTTGTATCAGACTATGATCTTGATTTTGTTCTATCATGATGTCTTTCTCTTTGAACATCTGTAGGATTTGGCTTGTTAAACATTTCTTGGATTTATCAATCATCATTTCTGGCTGAAGTATGTTTTCTAATATCCATGTTTGATTTTATAGGTGTTACAGCCTTCCTCTGGTTAGTGCTCCACACAAGTTATTTTTGTTTAGATTTGTTATTTGGTTTTTGATATATAATGCGAATTGTCTATCTTTTATATAGAATAGTTTGTATCCTGTGTGAACATATATGCTACTATTTGAGGCAGTGCTCAAGACTCCAATTTTTTATTTGAAGGCTTGTTTAATTTGATTGTTCAAAATATTAGTCTCTTGATTCAAAAGGAATGTATTTTGTAACATGTATTCTATAGCTGGAAACATGACCTGATTTAGAATATATCTATACTGTTTGTTTGTGATCATAGCTTTTTTCAGGATTTGTGTTGTTGTTTTCACCTTTTGTTTAATCAGTTTGTGCTGATGCTTTTTGCTACCTGTTGCTATGATCCAAATTCCAAGGATTCTTATAGCTTGTTTAGATTCCACCAGTTTGATTGTTTGGTTTTGGAATTGAAGATCTTCTGTGTCTTTACTATTTATTGTAAAAAGCACTGCTTTTTCTGAATTGATTCTGAGATTAGTCAGTTTTGCAAATTGTTCTGTAGTTTTGGTGATTTTGTTAATATGCTCTCAATAACTTGCTAGCCAGATTGTGTCATCCATATATGTTATTGATGAGATTCTATATTCTTGTACCCTCCATTTACTTGAGTTGTTTGTAGGTTTTTGAATTGAAAAGCTGTATCCTATGTTTTCTTTTTCTACTTTGTTAATTAGTGAATCATAGTAGATACACTATAGCAAAAGTGAGATTGTATCTTCTTGGTCTATATCTTGTGCTGGTTTGAAGCTGTCTATAAGACCATGACATGTGATGACCCTTGTTTCTTTGTTGTTGGCTAGATTTTTTAGGATCTTGCTAATGGTTGTCAGAATTTTGATTCTCTGTAAAGCCTTACTTAGAAGCTTTGAATTTATTGAATCATAGGCTTTACTAATGTCATGGCTTAGGATTCAGCATTCCTTGTCCAGCTCTCTTGCTTCCTCCAATATATTGTTAAGAATACTAATTGGTTCTTGTATATCTTCTCTTGAAAGTCCTGCTCAATTAAGTGGTGAGAGGATTTTATATTCCATAAGTATGTTACTTATTCTGTTGTTAATGATTTTGGTAAATATTTTTTTGATTATTTCTAATAGCGCAATTGGTATTGTACAGTTTAAATCATATTGCCAGTCTGCTTTCTTGAAAATTGAATAGATATTGATTTTGTTCCATTGCTTTAGAATTTTTGTTGATTTCAAGATTCTGTTAAATGTTAACATAATTATCTTAATTCCTTCACTACCGATATGTTTTAGCATAGCATAGTTGAGCTTGGATTTTTCAGGAGCTGACTCTGCTTTTGCTTTGATAATGGTGGCTTTGACTTTGTCTATTGATATTGGTTGTGTTGTTGGGCTATACCATGTTGTGTTGATGTTCAGTTGTGATATGTATTCTTTTTTCCATTTGTTCCAGGTCTTTTTGTCCAAGTCTCTGATTTTTATTGTGAAGTTTGAAAAGTGTGATGTTACCTTTCTTTTGATTTCTTGTGGATCTGTAATGACATTAATATTTGGTATTTTGGTTATTAGTTTGTTCATTGTGATACACATTCTTTGTTAGCTAAAGATTGTGCTGATCATTTTTTTAGGATCATGTTTCATTTGAAAC